ACGGTTGGATTAAATCTCAGTTTTAATGGACCTTCTAAACAAATTCCAAACCCAAAATGGTGCTCTTCTACTGTGCAGCTGCAATAAGCCACAGGTAAGCAAAATTACAGCTGTTTACACTGTTCCCATGATGAGACAGGGACCAACTGATGCTTACAAACTGAAAGCATGACTGTATGTGCACTGAAATGTGAGATCTAGTCTTCTTCATGAGCATGATACAGCAATAATGGGCCTTTCGTATAATGCTCCTCTGGTCATGCTGGAAATCCACAAATGTGCTCAGTTGGAGTTTTCATACTAACAGTCATACCTTCTCTATTATCTTGCATCACAACAGTATAATTTATTAAGGCCAGTAGATCTTAATTCCATTAAGTTGCCAACACTTACTGTATATTTCACCACACAAAAGTCTTCCCTTTGGACCTGCTGAATGTTAAGCTCATTGAAAGATCTCCAGCAGAGCTGGTTCCTGTTGTTGTAAAAGTGTGAGTTTTCTTGGTTTTTTGTTTTGTTTTAGCGGAACATGCCTTCTGAATCCTGGAATGAAGACTGTTCCTCCTACCATCCGGAAGCAAACATTGTCAATATTTTCATTACATATTTCCTCCATAACCTTGGGCTCACTCAGTCGCCTGTGCTCCTCTTTGTTGAAAATATATGAACAATGTTGCACTGGTAAATGCTACAAAATGACACTTTGTCACATACCAATGACGATGTGATCTACAATAATCCTCTGTTCTGTGCACATTAAAATAACTGGCTGTTAATCATCACAAGTTGAAACAAACACTTTGGAAAGATTTTTTAAATGCCACAGAACTTGGCAGGCAATTCCCAAGGGAAGGCTGACAAACAAGCAAGTAATAAGGACAGAGCTCCTGTGAAACAGACACTGCATTCTTAGTTTGAGTTAAAATTTTAATCCTGGAACTGAATTAAAAAAAATTAATCGGAAGAAGGGGGAAGGCTCTAGCTAGAAAGCCCCCCTCCCCATCCCCCACAGGGCAGATGTTTTGCATCGAGAGCTCGTCTGTATTCCAGATCAGCAGCAAAACACTCTTAAAACCCTCTCGAGGCTGGGTTGTCGTCTGTGGCTGGATAAGCCTTCATATCTGTGAGAGGGTGTCACAGCACGTAAGAGATCTCAATATCTATTAGTATTCCAGTCCACCTACCTAAGCATACAGGAACCACTGAGCTACACCTAAAGGTCTATGAAGCCTTTTATACAGCCGAGCTAAAACAGAACTATTCTCACTGGGTTGGATAACAGCACAGCAGAGAAACTTGCAAAGTGTTCTACGAAAATACAGGATTATGAGTTTATGAACCAGTCAGAGCATTTTTCAGAACATAAATAGTACATAAACGCAGACAGCCTAATGCTTCTGATTACAGTCCTCGGCAGAAGAAAATTAAATGTCAGAACACTCTGTATAGAATGTGGAATCTTTTCTCTTTTTTAGAAATAGCAAAAAAGAAAAAAACATTATGTACAACTAAATAAAGGAAGCAGTGTGTATAAAAACTGGTGTGAATCTAAGTAGGCTTTGAAAAGTGAAACTCCCTACTACTGTGAATGGTGTTAAAGAGGATGATTAAATTGAATATTTTGCAAGATATCTAGGCTTTGCAAAAGCTGTTTACAATTAGAAAAAAATCAAAAATGATCATTGCTTATTAGGTAACTTCAATTTCATATTTCTATGAAATAGCTTTTGAGTCTTGAGTTCAATTTGGGTTCAACCCTAACCAGACTGCTGCAGGTTAGGTTACATAGTTACTAACTGCCAAGCTTCTTGACAACTGTAAACTGGGGTACCTTTCTGTGGAGTTTTCATACTACAGTATGTTGCAGCTTTCCCCCACCTTCCAAACACATGCTAGTTCAATGGTATTTTCAAAATGTCCCTGTGTATATTTTCCTGTGATGGACTGGCATACCGTTCCATAATAGGTGGATTTAGCTAATGGATGGATGTATAGTTTCAGCAGTGAATCATTAATTAAAACTAAGATATTCAATTTGTATGTATGTCCGACATTCCCTATATACTATGAATCCGGATTTTCCTAAATTAAGGAAACGTTTTAGAATTATCCAGTTATAAAGTAATGGGTATTTTAGGATTTTCCTTACTTCTTGCACTGCTAATTCTATAACAGACTCCAGTATGCACAGTGACATTAAGTCACTGTTGTGGGCAGACATTTGTGCAGGGAGTATTAAACCAGCCCAATTACGTTGCTGCAGTTAGGTTACATAGTCAAATTTCTTGCATGACAAAATACATTTCAGGGCTACAGAACTGAGTCTTCAGTCTAGCAAAAAGAGTCAGCTAAAATTGCATTCCTAAAAAGGAATATAGACTTGTACAACTGTCTAGCTAAACTAGGAACAGTATAATACACTATAAATGGATGTTCCTTTAAGTTACCTAGGCAGTTTCAGTTTTTCTCACGCAGTATTCAAATACATGAACTGTGACAAATTTCTGGAAATATATTTGAGAAATATCATGTGTTTTTGTGGAATACAATTAGGCCACAGGTGAACACAGGTGAAGGATCAGGTCAAAATAATTTAAAACAATTTAAGACAATCCTCAAGAGATATTTTAATTACACTGCAGGGGATAATCTTCCATATCCAGATGATTTGTTACATTAGCTATTTCCATTCAACCTCTAATATTGGAAAAAGTCTGACCACTTGGTAACATTACATTTTATTTTGAAATTGCTTTCGTAAAACCACGGCCTTCAAAGTGCCTTCAGAACAAATTGCTCCAAGACACAGAAAATTAGTGGGAGGCTAGTGTGATGTTTTTATATCCGAAATTAGGACATAGATTCTAAACCTGTATATCTGTCCTGAGCTATCACCATGGGTGTGATATTACGCTGTCCACTAGATTTTGAGTTTTGAAGTTGATCTTGCTCACAATGCTGTACAGTGCATATAATTTTGATAGTTAAGCTTTAAATGTTATCACCGCCTTACTCAATGAAGACAAAATGGCTTTAGAATTCACTATCTTAGTCTCAAGGGAGGTAAAAAATGCAAGCGCAGACTTTTTGAGTCCTGTTGGGGCAGCCTCATTATCAGGTCAGACAGAGACAGAGAGCGTGGGATCATTATACTGGGCTCATTTACATTCAAGGCAACAGCTTGAGGGGTTTTAGAATATTTATCAAGCCAGCCTCCGCTTCTGAGCCGATATAAAAATAGATTTGCACAAAAAGATATCACTTCACACAAACTAGTGTCTGTCTTGAACAAAAAAAAACTGACACTCTCTATCTTGAGCTACTTGAGCTATCTGTGGTTGTGCCGCACCTTGTACCATATACTATATAGTACACAGGATTAAAAAAAAACAGGTGCTTTCGAAATGGCTAGGACACTTATTATTGCTGTAAAGCCACCCCCATCTTTCACAACTGAAAGAAACACAGACACAGAGGATTTGTTTCTAGTATTTCAAAAAGTAACTGAGAGTGTGCTCTTTTTCACTACTCAAGTAGTGAGTATAGTACTCAAGTCTATACTCAAGTAGTGAAAAGTAAAGAAGAAAAGTAAATAATCTTCAGTAAAGAAGATGTTAAAAAGCAATCCTGTTCTACAAAAAGTAACAGAAGATGTAAATAATGTTTATTGCTAGATATTTCATTCAAGAAAGGGTCAGTCCTATGCACCTATGTGAAAACAGATAAACTGAATGGACTGCCATGATCAGAAAAGAAATGTTTTACGAGTTACATATAAATGTAGCAGACTGACTGGAAAAACCGCCCAAATTCCTCTTGACGTAAAATGATCCCAGTAGCTGTAGCTTGAGGCTTTTCCTGGGAATAGCGGCCATTGACAACCATACTGTAGTTCAATTATGAACAATATAAGAATATAAGAAGTCTCAGAGCGGTCAAATACTGTAACTGGAGTCAGCCAAAGATCTGCTTCACCTTAAGGGGTAGGGGGGGTGTGTCAGGTAGTATGCTTCATTGGTACCTGCTTGGGCCTATGAGAGACTAACAGCTCTTGTATTTAATATGGCCTTTAGATTAGTGGCATAAGGCAAGTTCGTTGCTGGCACCCATCTGCAGCTCTGTTGAAGTGTTTGGGTTATTGTCCTGCCAGAGTGGAAATACTGTTAACAGGATGTGCTCTTCAGATGAAAGTACCTTAGGTAAGAGCACTGTGGTCTTTCTCCGAAATTTCTTTTAAACAGCTCTCTCCACAGCATCAACTGTGATCTGTAACTTGTGTTCCCGAGTGACAAGCATATGAATATGAATACTCCACAGATAAAGTAATCAAAATCAAAAACAACATACTAACATACTAATACTGTGTTTTCACAACAGTAACAACTGATGTACAGCTATGCTGGGAAATATATTGTGAATCTTAATTAGAACATACACTCCTGCGTTATAAACAAGTACAGTACTATGATGCAATTGCAGTTTTGTCTCTCTGTTGGCAAAATTACACATCTGACAGCTCTGCAAAAACTAAGATCTGTGAACTACGTGGGTTCAGCATGACTGTATACATGCACCCTCAATGCTGACAGGTGGGTTTCAAGTTAATAATGATGGAATACTTAGTTAACATTATAATAACTCCTTTACATTTAACATATTAAAAGCACAAATAATCCCTAATATTAGATTTTTGATTATATTCTAAATAAACAAGCTACAAAAATTTTAATGGAGAATTATATTTTTGACACAGGATCATATACATTAGGGAGGAAATATCTTAAAATATCGATCATTCAATATGTGTTTGAGAATATTTTTGTAATAAACAGGTATCTCCCAAATGATGAAAGCATCAAAATTGCATGATTATCTCTTTACTGCTTATTGGCTTTAATATCTAAACGCCCTAGTGTCTTTATTAATACTACAAAAGAACAACTATAAGAAAGATTTAATCAGATTTTTAAAGCTAGAGAACAGACAGCAGGTGTTGCTACCTTTAGCCTGAGCAATTTTCAGTCCCACACAAGCTGCTTCATCTGAGGTCTTTGAGGAGAAACAGTTCTGTTTACTTTTCTTATCTGAAAGAAAAAAGAGACACAAAATATTACATAATGTGTAAAGAGGTGTACAACATAGATAAGGATTTCCTTGCGAAATCATATTTAATTTGAATACTGTTTGTTGCTAACTTACAGAAGCAGCTTTATTAGACTCTTGTGGTGAAGTCTCAAATAATTTCTGTTGCCTGAGATGAGTGCATTTCCTGTGCCTGTACATAAAGAAACTAAAATACAAGTTCAAAGGTTTGAAAAAGAAATTAATTCAGAAAATTAAGTAAACAGAGTATGAAGTAAACCATGTCACAGAAAAGGATATCACTTCTCTGCAGTTGGTTAAAACTATTTTAATTCCAGTACTTGAGGCCGGTCATAATTAAATATGTGAGGACTGTGAGAAGTCCATATGCAAATGTTAAAAAACCTTACAAGGTATCACCAAAGTTAATCCTCAGATCTGCTTCAGGATCAATTGAAGGCCCCATGAGCACAAGTGTGCGTTTAGTTCAGAATAGGTATTTCTTTATGCAAAAGATGTGGGTTTCCTGAATAAGCCACCTAACCTCACTGGTGAAAAAAATTCATTGCTATCAAGTAGAGGGTTGACCAAATCCTTGAAACAATTAGCTAATGGCAAACAATCAAAAAGTTCAGTCCAAATAACGTCTTATTGTCACCCTTTTGATGATCTTGTGTTACACAGTTTAATACTGTAAATCACCCTGTTTTGCTACACCTTGTAAGCACTTGCACTTCTCAATGTGACCAAAAAGTTAAACTTTTGACTCATTTGTCAAGAGAACATTCTTTCAGTAGTCATGTCAACTGACAAACAAGAGATAGATAATGTTTTGTTTTTTTGACAGAAGAGAAGTTTTGTACCTAGCTACTCTCCTATGTAAACTATTCCCATTCAGTCCTCTCCTGATGTTGAGGCTTGAATACTGACACTTCGTAGTAAAAGGGCCTGGAGATCCTGGGATTATACCCTGGGGATCCTTTTGACTTCTTGGATGGTTTTCCGGGTTGCTCTTGTGAAAATCTTGCCAAGACAAGATTGACAAAACAAGACTGTACAATGATGTATAGTATCATACCGGAAAAAGCCAATCTAGGTTTTTTACACAATATACATTTCATAAATAAGAAACCAAGAGTTTCAATTCTTTAATGGAAAGTCAACATTTTTCACTCCTATTTAATGTCAAATAATTTTACCCTCAATTGTGTGCCGTTCCAGAAGTATGACTTTCTCACATAGACTTGATCTGCTGCAGTTTTAGAACAATATCTCGATTTAAAACCTGGGTAGAGTCAGCATATATTTGTAAACTTTGCCTTTGTAATCCTGCTGTATCAGTGGATGGATGGAGCCCCAAATGTTTAGACATATTTTTAGAACCTCGTCTATACAGATAAGCATCAACAAATTTTATTCTGAGGTCCTCTGAAAGCTCTTCTGATTGTGGCATGATGTGCACTAACCTACAGTATATGGTGAACAACAAACTCCCAATGTGTCTGATTATTATACAGGACAGGGCTACACAAAAGAAAAGATCTGTGTTTAATCAGACCCTTATGATGATAAGAAATTCTAATTTCCATAATCATACTGGAGGATGACAAACTTTTTCTTGATACTGTACAGCCCTAAGGAAATGCAAGCTGGCTTTCAAAATAAGTTAAGTAAACAAATATGTTTTGCCTTGTAAGAAAAAGGATAAGAAAACTTACTGCGGTATGAACATCTATCTTTCCATTTTCTAACATCTTTACAGGGTCAATACAAGGATGTGGAGGAGCCAGAGTCTATCTCGGCAAACAATGGGTGCAAGGCAGGGTACACCCTGGACAGGATGCCAGTCTATCGCAGGGCACACACAGACACAAACACACATGCTCACATCTGGGCCAATTTTCCCAGAAGCCAATTAACCTACCAGTATGTCTTTGGACTGGGGAAGGAAACCCACATGAACATGGGGAGAGCATCCAAACTCCACACAGATAGCACCACAGGACCCCAGCACTCTGAGGAAGCAATGATAACCACTGCACCAACTTGCCACCCAGGGTATGAACCGTTAAGAGAGAAAATACAGGTATGCTAGTTTAATATTTACAAAAACAATTGATAATGTCTAATTTAGCGTTCTTTGCAAACCTGGAGTTAGCCATTTAAGTTAAGATGTAAAGAACCTGGACAAGGATGACTGTGTTTTGGAGTTCTTGGGAATCTGTATGACTAGATAAAACCCTCAACTTGCATGTGCTTTGAGAAAGGGCATTATGTTTGGAAGCATTTGGATCTTTCAGGTCAAGGACACACCATTTAAGAAAAGGTTTTCTAAAACTATTTTAAATGGGTATAAGGCACTCTAAAATAGAAAGGCTTATATATTATAAAGTCAGTGCTCTGTCCACTGTTAATACTGTATTATAGTTTTATTCTCTACCTCCTAACAGTGCCGATATATCATGTTTCTGAACCCCAGTACAGCACATTAACAATCTTATTTAGGTGATGAAAGCTTGTCAGTGTTCCCAGCATGGGGTCTCACTTAATTTGGACAACTCATTGGCCATTAAAGATATGCTCTTACAGAGCAAGGATACCTCAGCATGAGATGAAACCTAGGGCACCGTGAACAACATTAGGAACAAAGCCTTCTTCCTTCTGGTTTCACAGCCTGTCCTTGATTAGTGCTTTTTCAGAGCTACAGGCAACACTTTGACAGACTGTAATGTGATTGAACTGTAAATATTTTAAATCCTTGTGGACATGCCCCAACCTCATCAAGGGTTTCCTGCTGTTAGTCAAGACCCAAGGCTTGTTAAATGTGCAGCTCCTGCCTGCACCATTATGTTCTGTGAATTTAAAATAGTTCAGACAATTAAGTCAATTGTGCCTTTAGAATTTACGAAAGCTCCTCATTGCAAAATACTGTACATAGCATACTCTCCAGCATTCCACTTTGCTTTATAATATACAGATACTGGTTATGATTGAACCAAGAGAAGGAAGGATGTTTCAACAAGTTTCATTACATCTACTGTATATATACTGTACACATACACGAGTGGCAGTATATACAAGAAGCTTCAAACTTTCATTAATAAGGCACAAGTCATGTGAGTCAAAAATCTACTTTCCTGTGTACAGTACATTTTAAAAGCTTGCAAATATATGATTTACTTATATTTGTATGAATCTTTTGATTAAATTATGAGAGCTTTCTTTATATTGTGTGTATATTAATTATCTGTCACCATTTCAAAAACCAGAAGAGCAGACCCATCTAAATTGTTATGTTTCTGCTTATCATATATAAAATTAAAGTTAGCAGCCATGGACATCTGTTTCACTCTTATTATTATCAGGGAGGCATGACTAACTTTGACCAGTGACCAAGGTGTAACAGCTGTCAACTGCAACTGATGCTCAATTTGTATACAAGATGAATAGAGGTTTCTGTTATTAGCTTAGTGGAATGGTAAGGGCTAATTCATATTCACATTATTATAATCCATTATGAGAATTAATCAAAATAATCACTCTTCAAAAACACAATATTCCTGAAAGATGTTCCTTGTAAGACATAAACAGCATATGTATGTACAGTAGTTGCAATAATGAAATCTCTGCAACCTTATATTAACCCCTACGTTCACACAAATACATATTCATTATGGATTCATTATGAAAATACTTGAAACACTGACAAATGTAACATTTGCAAACAAAACTGCTGACATTCTTTGTTTGAAACAATAAACCTAGTTTTGAATTTCTTCTACATTTACGGGCAAGTAGCAGTAAACATTCCTGATGAAAGAAATGAGTTCTGACATATAAAAATAAGGCAAACTGAGGTAAGGCAATTTATGCTTAAAGGCTTTGGAAAGTGAAGGAATGGGCCTACAGTCTACAAGACAGCAAAACGAGGTACACTCGCCAAGAACTCGAGATACTCAAGAGACAACACCATTCTCTTTTGCATAATATTTGCTAATACACTAACCAGACACAGTCGTGTTGTGTTATTGTTTGCTTTTAAAAAAACCTTAAACTCGCCCAGCATGTGAATTTGTTGAGGTGAGAAAGGGTTTAGCATTCAACAGAGCTTGAGATGGCCTGTGAGTCACCATTATGCAGCAGAGTACTATCAATACCAGCTGCATCTGTAAGCCCCATTTAGCTTGTGTATAGTCTATGTTCACACCTTCTACTACACTGGCTGAGAAAGCAAAGCTGGGTATTGCAGAGTCCATGAGAAAGGACCAGTGAAAAATGAGATCAAATTGCAACGGATCTTATTCTGTTAACCTTGAGTTAGCAAAGGAACGAAAGAGAAGACCAAAATGAGAAGTGACAAACAGCAAAAAGGGAAGCAAGAGGCATCCAAATGAGCAGTGCAACCCCTCCATGACTGTTTTGTGACCTGTGGGTGAGAGCTCCACAGCAAGAGTCACACAGATACTGAAGTGAAAGATAAATAATATTTTGGAAACACAATTTGGAGACAAAGGTCCCCCTTGCTTTCCGTTCACAAAAACCACCACGCAAGGGTGACAGTAGTAAGGCAAAAATCAGCTGTTGAGAGTGAAGAATAATCACACTGGGAAAAGGGTCTTTAGAAAAAAATGTGAGGTTTTAGGGGTACAAAGTAAAAAAACAAAACCTTGTAAAAGAAGTCTTTTAACAACAACAAAAGAAACCAAGATAAAACCACACAACCTTATGCCTTTACTCATTTCCAAGACACTATTAGGATCTGTTTTGAATTCCTTCCCAATTCTATTTACTATCTCAGTTTAGTAATGAGCTAGAAATAATCCACAGTGTTTAGTTGTTGTTAAACATAGGATGAAAAAGCAGAAGTTATCATTTACTTATACCTTTGTATTTCTGAAAAAATGCAGAGAAATAAAGGAACACCAATATAACAGAACTTAAGAGAGAGACATTACTTTAGTGTCTTAACTTTCAAAGGAGGACCCTGAGGCTTTCTTGCTTT